TGATATTCTGTTTTCCATTTCATTCATTCTAGAGGTGAGGCTTTCCCTTGTTGTTTCAAGTTGGCTTGTTGAGTTTTGTACTTCCTTCTTCCTTTCTGCCTGAGTTTTCTTCAGTGTTTCTCTTTTGTTAATTCATTCAGAAATTTATCCCTATCTTTTTTTAGTTCTTTGATTTGTTTGTTCATGTATCCTTTAAATTTGTTGAATTCCTTGATCATGTTTATGATCGTTCTTTTAAATTCAGTGTCCTGGCTTATCTCTAGGGGGTTCTCTTTGTAGAACTCTTCTACAGAATTGGTGGAGTTTGGTGGGGACATATTGTTTTCTGGCTTTCCATTTTATTATTCTTTCATTGTGATTTTCAGCATGTGTATTTCTTTTGTTGTTGTTGATGATTCTGATATAAGAATTAAGTTGAAGTATGCTTCTGTTTGTGTTATCCGGGTGCCTCGATCCTTTCTTTATTGGTTATGTAAAGCTGGTTGGTACAGGGTTCAGGTTCTCTCAGGTTTTATTTTGGAAGGAAGTGATGGCTTCAGATCAGCTGCTCAGGAGCACCCACAGAAGCCCAAGTCAGATTACAGTCAGGTACACTCAGGCTTCCTTCTAAGGTTTGGACTACTAGCAGGAACTCAGAGCAAAATTTGGGAAGATCCCTAAGGGGGGGGGGGCGCTGATTTGGGGACTTTCATTCAGTCTTCTGAGTTCTCAGCCCCTGTGCCAGAGGGAGGCCGGGACAGGCACTCTCTGGTGGTCTGCTCAGACCCCACCTGATACACCAGTGGAGGTGTATCACCAGGCTGTCTGCTAAGATCTCAGCCTTATCCTACCAAAGCCAGGTCTGCCCCAGGGCCTTGGGAGGGGCCTCATGCAATCTCAGTCAGGGGGTTGGGTAAGGCCACAACTGGGGGAAGCTTACTACCATGTGGAGGCAGGATCCAGGCACTCTCAGGCAGTCCCCTGAGTTCTCAGTCCCTATGCCAGAGGGAGGCGGAACAGTCACTCTCTGGCATTCTGCTAAAATCCTAGCCACTACACATATGGAGGCTGGAACCCACCACCTCAGGCTCCAGTCTTTAGGTTCTCATAACATGAGTCAATTCACTGTTAATTGTAAATGGTGTGGTAAAGGTATTGATGGGGATGCTGCTCCCATCAATAGCCCAGGATAGCCCACTTCACAGGTCACTCACTGCTTGAACTCACTGAGTAAGTTAATTTTGTTAAAGTTTGCAGTTTCCTTTTCTGTAAAATGAGGATTAAAATATCATCCTCCAGCACTTCCTGTGATACTGTGTGGAAAGCGGCAGTACCAGACCCAGCACACCATCTCAGTTTCCCGTACTCAGCCCCCACCATTACCTTCACACACCCCATACTTTTTCATTTTCCTGTTTAAGGTTACAGATGTAGAGTCAGCTCTATTTCCTGTGATGTTTGATCTATAAGGAACAGAATCACCAAAAACCAACATTTATAAAGGCACTAAATGCCACATGTTTTACTTATAAATCAAGATTTTCACAGTGGCCTTCAGTGAATACAGTCTTTCATACTTTTTAAACAAAACAAAACAGATTTTTTTAGACTGACCCTGGAGGATTAATTGGGGATTTAACCAAATGGGACCCACTATAAAGAGTTAACAATTAGAAATGAGAAGTTCAGCTGAACATAGAGAAATCCAGAACCCTTACTGTTCGTGCTGTGTTGAGCTCACATCACTTTTTGTTCAGATCCTCAGTACATGGCATGTGCAGTGTATGCCCATAATTACTTGGACATGACTTAGGTCCTGACACCCTAAAGTAGGTAGAAGAGTCCCTAAAACCCATGTCAAGTCCCCTGTTCACCTACCACCTTCATGCATGAAGGAGCGGATAGCGTTTCCCAGTGCTGAGGGTCTGTCAGGCTGGGCTTCTCATTGGGAACATTTCAAGTTATGATTGCCTCACAGAGAAGGAAATGTGAAGGTTTTCATAGAAACAGTCCTTGAAGTGTCAGGGGGAAAGCAACAGCAAGTGCAAACAGTGACATTCTTGTCCAAGGGAACTTTGTGTGATGAGGTCTTTTCTAGAAACCTTCTTTCCCTCTGACTCTTCTGTGGTACAGTTTTCACAAGACTCACCACCGCAGCATGTACTGGTCAGCCCCAGAGTGTCTAGGTATCCTCAGACGGGAGGGTGCACCAGAGCAGAGCAGCAGCTCTGCTGTGCACCAGCACACATCTGGCTTTCTAGCTTGCTCGACACAGCTCCTGCTTTGTGGAAATGCTGAGCTGTACATAGTGACTGCTCATCTGTTGTTTCCTGAAGCAATCCACAGATTCCTGGTGGTGAGTGTAGGAAGTCTGGGGAGAACCCAAAGTAATTAGCCCTTGTTGGTAGGTAATTAATACTTGTAGATAGTTTGTACTTCAGCTGTTTATTCAGAGAGAATGTGGAGCCAGAGAAATTGCTGAGATGTGTGCATTTCCACAACTAACGCCATCACTCATGGCGAGGCTGCAGCTCAAGAGGTCTAGAAGGAACAGTTAGAGTTGTGGGAAAACTGGCAGCAGGAAAAGCAGGCAACTGCTGGGATCTGCCATTCTCCAGGAAGCCGAAGTGGCTCTTACCCTGCAAAGAGCCAGGAAAAGTGAATTTCAGTTCTTAGGACTTCAGAATGTCCAGAAGTGGTTGGAAAGAGCAAAATTAAGAGAATGGGTAAAATTAATTAGGTTAAAAAATGAAACACACACACACACACACACACACACACACAAACACACACACACACGCACCTCTGCAACATTCAAAAGTAGAATCCCAAACAACAACCAGAAAAATCCCTCTGAAGTAACTCCCAGTAAGTCTGTCAGTCAGGGTTTTGCTGTTTACTGCAGTACACATTATTTTGCTTTTTAAATTGATTTTAATTAACCGTCTCCAAATACTGGTTAAGCAAAATGTTACTATTTTGATTAGAACATTCTCACATGCCCTATATTTCAGATGATGAATTTAATGATTGATGTAATAATACTGTCCACTGGACATTAGCACCTGTTTCTTCTACCTTCCTCCCCCACCACTTGATCTCCAGTCTCTCTTCCCACAGCATCCAGAGTCATTTCCCAACAGCCCTGCGCATGTCATTTCATTGTCCATAGTCTTTACTTAGTGCTTCCTCTTTCCTAAGCATAGAAGGCTGTCACAAGCTGATCTCTCTCTGCCCCTCCAGACTTACCTCCCAGCACTAATATTCCATCCATTGGCAGGAGCTTCTAGTACCCCAGTGCTGTCATGCTCTTTTGTGCTTGTGACTCTACTTAGTCTGCCCTACAGTGTGCTCTTCCAACTTGAAGACAACTCTACGGGCTCATCCCTGCCTGCTGCACCTCACACACACATACTAGCTGCTCCTTATCTGGGCTCTCATTGCCTTGTATGGTGGGTCTCCTGTCTCCTCTTCTCCAAAACTGGTCCCTAATACAGAGGAGGTGCTTAGTACATATTTGCTGAACAGACTAACACATAAGTGATTGTGTATGAGTAAACCAATTTGGTATATTATAGACACTATAAGGACTATTTCTGACCACTTAGGAGCTGTAGCTGATTGGGTCTAGCTTTTTTATTTGTTTTTGTAATATATGTCATAAGTTCCTTAAAATCTAGTCTTTATTTTTTGCAAAAGTTAATATCATAGTACCAGCAAAATATGGATCAGCAGGCAAAGGTTCTTACTGAGCAAGCCTAACAACCTGGATTCAATCTTCAGAATCTACATAAAAGTAGGAGAAAACCAATTCCAGAAAGTTGTTCTCTAACCTACACACACTCTGTGCCATGTGCAATACAGACACACACACACACACACACACACACACACACACAATTTAAATTTTTTAAATTATCACTAAGTGCCCTTCTGGATATGATTTTAGTTTTTTTGGGATTTTTGATAAAGAAAAACAGTATATGACAGTTTTTTGGTAAAGCATAGCACTTAGTACTATATAATGTAGCATCTGTATGGTACCTATATCTAGCTATATATCACATACAAGTATAGATAAATCTCTTAAAAGGATCTTAGTAGTGCCTCAAAAGAGGCTCTGTCTCCACTCAACCTGCTTGGTATTACCTGAAGTATGATTACAGTGCCTTCCGACTGAATTCAACATGCTGTCCTGTTCCCACAGAGCCTTTTCTTAGGAATCATAAAGTCTCTTAGAATGCTGATCACATTCCATCAGCCACATTGAAAATCCAGAGACAATCTGACTTCTTTGCATTCTGATTTCCTTGCATTCATTCAACAAAGCTGTCCATATGCCTGGCTGATGGCTATATGAAAACCATTAAGTCACTAGTCACACAATGACCCTGTCCACTTAGTGCCTTCCCCAACCTCACCTTCCTTCTATCTCAGGTCCATTCCAGTCTCAGTACACACAACTTTCTGATGAGTTCCTTTTGTGAGTTATGGGGACTCTGCCACACAAAGTCTCAACACATGGGTTTCTTCCCATTATATCCTCTTAATGTGTCCTGTGATCTGTGAGAGGTCTGGAGGGACCTTGAGATCATGGATGGAGCCAGGCACAGGGGCTGCCCTCAAAGCACTGTAGCCCATTGATGTCTATGTTGTGATGAAACATGGTTCTAATAAGATGATTGTTGTCTTTCAGCTGACATTTTACTATGGTAAAACAGATGGCTGGTGTCCAGTAAAGTACTATGAAGACATCAAGAAAGACTTTCCAGAAGGAGATATCCGACTCTGTGAGAAGGGAATACCTCATGCTTTTGTCCTCCATTTTAGTCAGGAAGTGGCCTGTGTAGTTGCCGACTGGCTAAATAATAATCTGTCCAAAATATAAACAGTGGTCCAGGAAAAAAAAAAAAAAACCCTACAAACACCAGTATGTGGAAGCTGTAGGCGTGATATTCTTAGAAGGTAAATGTTAATTTTGAGACTCAGTCTTAAAAAGGAAAAAGTGAGAACCTCTTGGCTTACAAACCACCAGCTCCCAGCACCCCTGCTACAGACTAAAATGAATACAGTTGATAACTCATTCCACATTTCCTGACTCAGGAAACACAATAGTGTTCATGAAGATTCTTCTGTGTACAAGAAGCCTAGTAGTCATAGAATCCTTATCTACAAAAGAAAATCTAGTATACAAAACTTTGAGTTACCTTTATAGAATAGATTCCCCTGGATGAAGTTATGAAATACTAGAAAATGTAAAAATTAACCCTTGAATGTGAACCCAGATAGATGTTGGCAGAGGGTGTTGGCACTGAACTTGGGTGTCCTTTAGGTAGAGGCAAAAATTAGCTCAGACTAACTTTGGGTCTTAGCTGAATTCATAAGTATGTCTTCGTGGTCCACCTGCAATATACCAAGAATCAAGTTTTCCAGACATTACTCTTACCAGCTAACCAGATAGAGATGCTGAAGGATCGCAGCTCTTTCCTGCTGCAGGGTAGCCAGCAGGCTTCTCCTGAACCCTGTCAAGTCCCTGTAGGTTCCTCCAGAGCCAGGAAGGGGGGACACTGGATTGCCCCAAATCAGATGTGTGTGGGCCTACATGCAGGTGCTCACCTCCATGGACAGTCAGTGAGCCACTATACTAGCCATCCATCCTGTGATCAATCCATTACAAGGCTACTAGCTACTTTATGATGCTTCCCTCCCAAAATTCTCCTAGAAAATAACCTTTGGGAAGTCCTTTAAATTGTTGAGTAAAACATTAACATAAATTGGTTTCCAGTTTACCTTAACTTTATTGGTTGGAAAGAAATTATTTTGCCAATGAACTGAAGTAAGCCATTAAATTTTATAAATTCGCCTTCTCTCTCTGTTCCTGGCTGAGGAGGGCCAGTGCTGCCTTCCCTTAATTGACTCAATCCTGAGACCTTAGGGACCAGTAAGCACCATTGGCTGTAGTGACAGATGGTAAACAATCAGAAGCATTCCATTTTCTGCAGAAAGCCCACCTAGCATTATCATTCCTTGAAGACAATGAGATGCTGTCCTTCCTTTCAAAACCTACAGCTCTGATGAAAGATTCAGCTGTGATGTGCCACCAGCCCAGTGGTGGGTGATGGATGAGTTCTTGCCCTTTTTAGTGTGGCTTCTGAGCCAAGCAAATAACTTCTCAGAGAGGGAAAGCTAAGCTCCAGACAAAGAGTGCTGTGAGTCTAGGGGGAAGACCATTAGCTACATCCGCTGAGGCTTGGTGCTCCACACAAGTCCTTACTACATGGGGAGGTCGTCCAGAAAGCTGAAAGATTCATCCTCTGAGTGCCTTGCTTAAAGGAAAGGCTTGATAGCAGGAGATCATGGATAGAAACAAGTGCTAGTGAATAAGAAGTACTGGAATGAAGAGTAACAGCCACAGATTTCCTTTTAGAAATTATTTTACATTACTCTATATTTCTAAACTCTGCTTATATGAAATCGTATATAATTTGTGTTTTGTAAAGCCTAAAAACGACATTGGTCCTTCATTCCTATTCCTCATCTAAACACCAAATGAATTTTTTAAATAAATGTTTTAACCAGCACTTAGAAGTGTTTGGGCCTGATTTCTGTGTGCTGGGGGCAAGGGTGGGACATGAGCGGTTTGCCTAAGCTAAACTCAGCTATTAAGGGGAAACTGCACTTTATCATTGCTCCTTTTAAAGAGGGAAGAATCAGATTTCAGGAGACTGAATAGAGTTTATTCTTTCTCACTAAGAATTACAGAAAGCTGGGGGCTGGAGCGATGGCTCAGTGGTGAAGAGCACTGACTGCTCTTGCAGAAGACCTGGGTTTGATTTCCAGCATCCACATGGCACTGACAACTGTCTGTAACTCCAGTTCCAGGGGATCTGATGCCCTCTTCTGACCTCCACAGGCATTGCACAACAGGGGTGCACTTACACATGTGCAGGCAGTGCACTCATACACATAAAATAAAAATAATAAAAAAGAATTACAAAGAGCTAAGCATGGTGGCATATGCTTGAGATCCCAGCACACAGGAAACAGAAGCAGGAGTTTCAGGCCAGACTGGACTACATACTGAGTTCAAGACCATCTGGGGCTACATGACAAGACCCTGTCTCAAACATAAAAGAAGAGTTGGAGGGCCAGGCGTGGTGGCGCACGCCTTTAATCCCAGCACTCAGGAGGCAGAGGCAGGCGGATTTCTATGAGTTCAAGGCCAGCCTGGTCTACATCGTGAGTTCCAGGACAGCTGGGACTACAGGGAGACCCTGTCTCAAAAAGACCAAAAAAAAAAAAGAAGAGTTGGAGGAGGGGAGCACGGAAGACAATAATTAATAAGCAGCAGATGAAATCCATTTGCCAGTAGTTCCACCTTTCCAGTCAACCATATGGTTGTATGGGCTTTGTGTACATTTAGCTTCCTTAGGGCTGTCCAATGTTGAGTGAAAAGCACCAGTTGGAGCTTTGATCCAAGTCCATGGTGATTCCTACTCTGTTCTGAGCCATGAAAGAAACACCAAAGGCAGTTCAATGTGGGGTGTCTAGGGCCCTTATACCAACTGCTTCTCCAATAGCAATAGCAATTCCAGACTAAGGAAAACTAAAGGAATGTGGCAGCCTAACGTAACATGTGGCACCTTGACTCTGGATTGGATGTCTTGTTATAAAATAAATTTGGAAGACAATTTGAAGTTTCTAAAGATTATACTGTTCATTTTATGACTTCAGTGATTGTATTATGTAAACGTAGGAGAATTGTGTTTTATACTGAGAACATAGTGACATAGCCAAGGACAGGGCATCATGTCAATTTATTCACGTTTGGTTCAAGGGAAAATAGTGTTCTCTGTACCTACAAATTTGGGGAAACTTTAAGTTGGTTTGGGAATGTATAAAATAATTTTTTTGGAAAAAATAAAAAACCACAAGGGCAAGAGAGATGGCTCAGCAGTCAAGAGCACTGGCTGCTTTTACAGAGGACCCAAGTTCAATTTTCCCACCACCTACATGGCTGCTCACAACTGTCTATAGCTCTAGTTCCACAAGAGCCAGTACTCTCTTCTAGTCTCCATGGGTACCAAGTACACATGTGATGTATATACATACATACATGCACACATACATACAGGCACATACAAACATACACATAAAATGAAAATAAATATTTTTTTTAAAGAAAAGATGGAGACTGGCTGCTCTTGCAGAGGACCAAGGTTCAGTTCCCAACACCCACATGGTGACTAACAGCCACCTATAACTCCAGATCCAGGGGATCCAACACCCTCTTCTGGCTTCTGTGGGCACTGCACACATGGGTGCACTCACGCATATGCAGGCAATACTCATACACATAAAATTAAAAAAAAATTTTTTAAAGAGAGAATGAACAAAATTGTCTTCTGCATCTATCTCTTGTTTCTTTTCCAGGCAGTAGATATCTTCCTGACAGTAAAGAGAAACCTGAGCTCAGATCCCAGTGCTATCATTCAGAGCTTTGTGATGCTACATAAGACTTCATACCTCTCAGAGCCTTCCAATTACTCATCTGTGAAGCTGGGATAATACTAGCATTTGCCTCAGGTTTTTTGTGGAGGAAAGACGTTTTTGTTTTATTTTGTTTGTTATGAAACAGTGAGGTCCCATGTATAGCATCCAGATCTTGCCTGGCTCATGGCTAGTGTTCTTAAAAGGCACCTAGAGGGAAAGACTGGCAAACTTATTCTTCCTTTAGTCTCTCGCCAGTGCAGTAGAGGACCCTGTGCTAGCTCAGTCATCCAGCTTTTAACTTGACACTTGTAGTCTCAGGGTGTCTGGCTGCTGTGCAGGAATGACTTCCTCACCTGGCTCAGCTTCCTGGCCTTGAGCCATTTCGCCTCCACACACATCCTAGGGTGCTCTCACAGTTGGCGTAGAAAAGATGCAGGAAACAAAACATTTCTTAGAAAGCATGAAACGTCTCTGTTCCTGGCCTCCTGCTAGGGAAAGAAGCGAGGACATTCTTGGGCTCCTTCACTTGGAGGTGGGGGCCTACGGAGAGGTCAAAGGTTAGGACTAAGTATGCCATGTGCACAGATACATCTCCAAGGATGTTAGCAAAGCTGTCCTGATGAGGGCAGAAAAGCTTTGATGAATGTCCTTTGTGTTGGTTTCTAAGAGGTTGACTCTGTCTGTGCTCCATACAGATGTGGATAAGTGATCACACTGGTTCAGGTGGGAAGCAACTCTAGATCATGAGTCTGGTCTCTGCCACCAGACTGAAGGTACCCACCAGAGCAAGGTTGGCATCAGTGATCTGGTAACTATTGAAGCGCTAGGTGACACCTGGGAGCATGGCAAGGGCCATCGAGAATAGGGAGGGACTGCTCACAGGGAGAGGATGGGGAGGGCTTCCTTTAGTCCCACAAGGACAGGCAGAACCTAGATGGGTTTGGCATAGAAGAGAGTAAGCCTAGATAAAGCATCCCCTACACTGTCACCATCATGCAGATGTCCCAGCCCTGGAAGATTCTGCTCATTGTTCAGCAGCCAATGAAATCCAAAGTGCTCTGCCTTGCTCAAGATTTCATAACTGGTGGGTCTGGAGAGATGACTCAGTGGTTAAGAGTATATACCGCTGTTACAGAGGACCCAAGTTCAATTCCCAGCTCCCACACTGGGCATCTAACAAGCACCTGTAACACTCCAGCTACAGGAGGATTTGACCAGCCTCCACAGGCACCTTACACATGTACACACACACACACACACACACACACACACACACACACACATAAAAATAAATCTTAAAAATATGTCATAGTTGATGGGTGGCAGAGTTGGATCCCAGTTCAGACCACTGCTCCAGAGCCATTGCCTGTCCCCTTCTTTTGACCACACCATGCTGCCTTCTGGAGGCCACAATGGGAAACCTAGCAAAAGTGGA